CTCATCAATATGAAAGCAGAAGAAGTTTGCACATGTGCAGTGTTTGAGGTTCTGGTAAATCGGCTCATAGCTCTTCTTTAACAGCAGGATTTGTCCACGAACACCTTATGAGAGAAGACTGGAAATCAAACATGTATGATTTTCTCCTGACCTTATGATTCCTAATCGCTATGTGGTCGTGAGAGGCTAAGCTCCCCTCGTTATTTCCTGTACACTACATGACGCAGGATGCATGATCAGGCTGAAAGTCGGCCCGATCGGAAAAAATTCTCGCACGACTTCGGGCAAAAAAAACGGGATACCGGCTTTCAGGAACTGGAATTGCTACACCTGTATTAAAGGAAGCCCAGCTGATTGGATAGAGTCACTAACTTTAATCATAATTCCTGGACAGTCAACACTAACACTGGGATTTATGATAAACCAACACATTATTGAAAAGAGCAAGAAAAAAGTACATATTTGTTTTCAACATTTTTTAACAAGTAAAAAAATAAGTTTTTCAATCTGCTTTGAATAAACCACTTTTGTTTTTTTTGGGATGTCACAAGCTTTAATCAACATGTCCAACAAACAGACCCCATTTTAAAATTTTGTGATGTACTGGATGTTTAATTCACATTGAACTTTCTGCTGAATAAACGTTTAAAGATGTTAAAAGTGTAAATAAATAAATTAATAAAACAAATAAATCCCATGAAAATTAAACATTTGGCAAACTAAAAAAAGAAAAAAACCTCCATGAATGTTTTTATGGTACAGAAACAACCAAACAATCGTGCAGAGAAAGAATGACAAGCATTCTGCTGCTGTCAAAATATTCTCTCTGTTTTCCAGAAAGAAAAAGGAAAAAAGCGGAGTGACTCATATTGTGCATATCTCTCAGTGAAATACTGCAGCCTGACAACGTGCTTATGTATCTTCAGTGCGTGAGCTTGTTTGGCCAAGGCCTCACGTTTCCTGTGGGTTAATGACGGGCCCCACAAACGGCGACATGCCGGGTGTCTGGGTTCCTGTGTGCTCTAAAAGTCTCTTAGATAACTGCAGAAAGCAGCGATGATGGTTCTGTCGGATTTTTTTTCCTTCTTCTGTCTCAATTGTTGCCTCAACAATATTTTAATCATGAATTACTGAGGGTGTTTCAAACAGTACCGCAGTTCAGTTTTTCAAATAAAATATAAAATAAATTTAGCATCTAACCAGCCTTCAAATCTTAAAACAAAACATTTTTTTCTAAATAAATCAATAATCAAGATGATAAAAAATGAGGTGCAGGATTGATTGAGTTTAATATTCAGTTATACTTACTGTATATTCTTCAGACCAGAGCATGATGAGGCAGACAGACACCGGGTTCAGAGCAGAGGAAAAACACAACATGGTTAGTTAACAGCTTTGAATCAGTTTTTTACTGCAAATGTAAACTAAAAAACGTGGCTCTCAGTTTGAGTTGATGACTTTTTTCTCTGATCAAAATCACGAAAAAGAGCTACACCATAAAGAGACCGCCGTAGATGAAATCTGAAACTGATAAAAAAGTATTGTAAATTTTCTCTTGACCTAAATATTTATAAAAGTCACAAACTTGACAAAAGCAGGGAGTTTTGCAGCTTAACCCTTTCCTCATTTATCATGAAAAGTTGGACTAATCCCGTTTTGGAATCTGCACCACTGATGGGCATACGTCTACAGCCTGCCTGTATCCTCACACAGAGAATCTTCATCCACAGGATGGTAGTTAATGGGAGCAACAGGATCAAAAAGCAGATGTGTGTCTCTGTGTTTCAGTGTTAAAAAAAGCTTTTTTTTTTCTTAAATGATATGCATCCTTCTATAAAAGGAGCAATAAAAAGAGCAGATAATCATGTGACCAGATAACTGTGACCATTAGGTCAAAGTCAATTGTAAATACTACATGTTTGGATCAAAGTTGTGATGATTCCATTTTATTCAATATTTAAGCTCCTTATATATACCCATAGGATTTAGGAAATGTTTCTGATGATATGTTTCATGCAAAAGACCCCAAACCAGGATTCAGAAAGCAGGACCTTCTTACTACAAGGCAACAGCATTTACAGCTGCACCAGCGAGCTCGGTCAGAAAACTACCTTGACTTTGTTTCTATGTAGAATCTACGGGTTATTGTTGAGAGGAAGATTGAAGAGTTGCAGGCAGCATTTTAAGCAACCTGGGCTTCCTTAACACATGGCAAGAGGAGTTAATGTTTGCAGGAACTGCACAGTGGAGGGATTTGTTTAAAAAATAAGTTTTTAGTGGTTGTTTTTTTTTTCTTTCCTTTTTTTCAAATTGTTTGAGAAACAGAAATTTGGATTTTTAACAGCTGTCAGTAATGATTATCCAAATGATCACCAAATAAAGACAATCATCAACCAGTAAAGGTCCAGAGACATTTTTATTATAATCTGTTACTTTAATCAGAAATTAACACTGAAATAAAATGAGGTGTTTATGCATCCATGTTATACACTGCCTTTTTACTTAAAAAAAAAAAAATAAAATAATAATAAAATTTTTCCATTTTAAAATCTTAAGTTTCTTTTTTAAGTGAGAGAACAACAATCATTCAGTTTGGTATAGAGACATTTTCCTGATTATAAAATCAGGAAAATTATATTTTATAAAACCAGACTGACAGCAGCTCATTGGATCA